TGGTTGAGTTCTTTCACCCTGGGACAGAAGTACCAGTAATCATTGTACTGTCTTGATGTGGGTTTTGTTTTTGGGATAGCCTCTTCTGCCGCTTGGTGAAACGTCTCGACCAATTGTTGGTGGAGGGTTGTCTCGTCCACGGGTGCTGCGCCGGCCGGCTGTGATTTTTCGCGCCACTTAGCCAGGTGTTTCTTAAAGAGTCCCCAGTCTGCCTTTTGGGTATTGTATCTCCATCTCGGGGGGGTGGAGTGGGGAGTTTGTTCACCTTCAGCGTTGTTAGGGTGGCGAAGTGGTCGCTGGTCAGCGTGGGGTGTAGCTGCCAGGAGGCCGAAGGCTGTAGTGCACTGGAGACGAAGGTTAGATCTAGCCTTCCTCCCCTAATGTGGGTGGGCTCTCCGGTGTTCAGGAGGCAGATCTCGGGTGTGTCATGAAAGGTGGTGTATAGGTGAAGGCCGTCTTCATTTGTGGGGCTTACCGAGCTTATGAAGGGATGATGTGCGTTGAAATCCCCTCCTATGAGTGTGGCGTGGTCAGCGGCCGAAGCGAATAATTGAGTAACCTCCAGTGAGCCCCTTGGGTTTTTGTAGATGTTGTGAACAGTTAATTCCCGTTCTTGGAGAGTTACTTTGACGGCCTGTCTCGATGTTTTCCCCACATGGAAATTGCTGCATGACCTCGGAGGAGGGTATGCTTGACTTGACCAAGATCATACATCCTCTTGTTGACGCCTGCGTGAAATGCCTCCTGTATGTCTTGTAACCACTGAATTTGAAACAGTGGTGTTCTTGTAGAAGTGTTTCTTGTAGCAGTATAATGTCAAGCTTGTCCTTGGCTGCTGCTTCTTGCAGGAGGTGTTTCTTGTTTTTGATGCCCTGATCATTCCATGTAAGGATGTTCAGGGTGCTGATGTTTTCCACCACTGTTTCATCGGGGACTTCTGGTGGTCCTCGATGGAAATGTTCAGGTCCGATTCCGACTGGATCAGGTTCATATCTTCTTGTTCTGTGGTTTTTGCCTTCTGGGCTGTGGTTCGGTTCAGGGGAGTTGAAACGTCCAATTTCTTTCTGGGGGCTGTCGATATCTTTGGTTCTCTGGTGGCCTTTTTCGGTGTAGAGTGTACCTCGGCTGTCACTCGTGTGAGGACCGGCGTGGCTTCCTCCACTGAGGTGGCTGGAGCTGTGGCGACTTGCCCGAGGACGCTCCCCATGAGTGTTTGGAGCTGTGTGGGTTGGATCTTGTGGCCCAGTAGTCCGGCTAGGCCCTCCGCGAAGGTTGTCAGTACCTTGGCTAGGTCTGATACGTGTATCATTCCTTCTGGTGCCTTGGTGTGTGCTTCTTTTGTCGTTTTCGTGGTTGTCGTTGTCTGCTGCTTGGGTGGCTGAGGTGTGGCCGTAGTGAGGCCAGGAAACTGGGCTGCACTTTGGGTGTTGACCGGCTGAGGAGGTTGGCTTTGTTGTTTTGGCCTTTGGGTTCCCCACACGAAGGTACTTGGTGGGGCTGGTGTGCAGGCGGTGGGGGCCGGTCTTGCTGCTGGTCGGTTTGCCTGGACCCGCTTTGTCCTCTCGGAGCATCCAGGGTTCCAGGCGTGGTGTTTGCCCCCGCAGTTGGCACACTTGGGGCAATTTTTTCTCCATTTTTCAACTTGGTGAGGCAGGAGTGTGTGCCGTGCTTCTGTGCGCAGACTGCGCAGATTTCCTTGTACGTGCACCTTGTCTGATGGTGCCCGTATTTCTGGCATCTGAAGCACCGCAGGGGCTCTGGGACGAAGGGCCTCACTTCGTAGATCCCCCAGGTTTTGAGGTCTATGGTGCTGGGGGGTGAACCGTAGTGCGTTATGAGCACTTGTTTTGTGGTGGCCGTCTTGTCGGACGGGGGAGAGCATCTCTCGGCTTTTAGGATCTTCGGGTGGTTCTCCAGGGGTTCGAGGGGTAGTTCCTTTGGGTACCGGAGGACTACCGACTTCATCAGTTTATGGGCGGGGTCCAGCTTGGTTGATGCAACGGTGGTGGTGTTTTGCAGGTAAGTGTCGAGGGTGGTGGCGGAGTCCTTGTCTTTGGGGTGAATAATCATCTCCCCCTTTAGGTTGGGCCACACTGAGAACTTGGCCAGTGGATTTAGTTTTTCCATCTCTGTGATGGCGGCATATGTCGTTTTTGTGTCCGTTTTCGAGATCCGGAATTTTGGCAGTGTCGTTGGAGGTGAGCTGGTGGTGGTGATGGGTGCCTTTTGGGCTGCTTGACAGCATTCGTTTCCCGAAAAAGCACGTCGGCGTTTTTTGTTTTCAACCTTCGTCCAGTTGTCGTCCTCAGTGGCGGTAACAGTGGTGGTGGAGTTGTTGGAGGCGGTGGCAGTGCTCTTGCTTTTCAGGGCTTCGTTGAAGGCGCGTAACTGGTCCGCTTTCTCTGTGCGGAGCCTGTCGTGGTTCGGGTCGTCAGGTTGGCGGTTCAGGCGGGGGTCGCGGTTAGGAGGGCGTACGCGCTCTGTAACCGTTTTTTTTTTTTTTTTTAGATCCTACCTATTCCGGTTGAGTAAGTAGCAGAGAAATTTCAGCACTCCCCACAGGCAATGATGGCCGGGTGGTCGTAGAGTGGTTCCTGAGCTTCTCTCCCGGAGCCCCGTTGGGGAAGCCTACTTCCTAGTGTATGTGACTGCTCACTTATAGACGTGAGCTAAGTGTGCCTATTGGGGAAGGATGAGGATTGCTACCCTCTTTCCAGGTGGACCTGCACGATCACGGTTTTCCTGGAAAGACTCGGCTGGGATGGGTTCTTGCTCCAACCCCCTTTCGTGTTCACAATCTCCTGGGAGGGAGGTGAACAGTTACAGGGGGGACCGCAGGACGAATACACTTTTTGAGGGTGCAGGTCCCTAGGCCAGAGCGAAAAAGGGAAAAATAGCAGTAGAAGGAAAAGAGCTCAAACCACGTCGGGAATATTGCGCTATAGCTGCTCTCCAGCTGGAGTGTGGGTCACTCACACCACCAGTGGGGAGGGCAAGCTAATGCTCGATAAACCGAAAACGCTCGTGAGTTGTTGTCGACGATGTCAGTGGTGGATGGTCCGGTCCGGGAAGACGGCCAAACAATGGCAGCAGAGAGAGGGCGGTCTTCACAGTTCCGGGTCCAGCAGGAGGTCTTGTTGAGAGGTCTTCTTAGTTCAGAAGCGATGTGTGAAGTGTCTCCCTGATGATGATGATGATAATGGAGAAAAATGGCAATGGCTTGCCATGGGAAGGGAGAGAAGAGGTAAGGTAGAAGGAAAGTTATGATACGGGAAGTAAAGTAGTAGAGAATAAGAGCAGGTGGGCTATCCACCTAGCAGAGACGATTTGATTGGCTGTGGTGAAGGCCGCACTAAGAGGTCGCCCGAGCTCGAGGGAACAGGGGGGGAGGAGGCTAAGCTAGCTAGCTAGCAAGGGGTTGTTAGTTACTGTGTTAGTTGGAGAGGTCTACTAGGTCCTTGTGTAACTAGTAGAATACTCTCATCTTTTGATACCGGTTTAGTGTCTCCCTGTAAACTAACTAACTAAAAATCCTAGTGACAGGGGGGAAGGAGGTTCAGGGGAAGAATAAAGGGAGGATTGAAGTGAATTTTAGGAGGAGAGAACAGGTGCAGTGGCTAAACACCGCTTGCGTGAGGGGGTAGGCAATGTGCCCGGTAGGTGTAACAATCACGATCAGGACGAGGCAGAGGGAGGGCGGGAGCAGGTCCGGGCAAGCAAAGGGCCAACGCGGGTGCTCTGGTTGTCGTCTTAGCTTAGGCAGTGTTGGCAAAGCGGAGGAAGAACCGCCCCGCCACGGCGGCGGCGCAAGCCGAGAAGCGCAGGTGGACGGACGCACAGGGAGCACACGATCAAAGTAACAGAGAAGGTGAAAACATGGAAATGTAGCTAGTCGTAGGGTTGTTTGGAGAAAGATGAAGGTAAAGTCTTTGAGCTATGTCAAAGAGGAACGGAGCGAGTTGGAGGAAGGGTTATGAATCTTTGAGCTTGAAATGTCAAAGTATTCATAGTAAGGAAGGATGAGCGTATCGTAGGAGAGTTATTTAGTAATAGCAGGAGACAGATTTGAGCTTTGTCAAATTGTGAACGGAGATGAGAGTGAGATATAGGTTGTTTGGTTTCAGTCTTGAGTTAGGTCGATTTTGTTGACAGTGGCTGTTATAGAAGTTGGGTATGTTTGATTTGGTTCTGGAGAGTTGTAATATTATGAGAGGCTTTGTCTGGCGGGGGGGGGGTTGTGTTTGGAGATTGGTTGTGGGGAGTTGTGTTTGGGGATTGGCGGGGTGGCGGTTGTATGTTGATTTGAGCTGAATTAGAATTGCTTAAGGGGTTGTTGTGTGTGTGTGTTTGTGAAAATATAGTAAGGGGGAGGGTTAGGATAATTGTTATAAGGTCAGGTATGGTTCAGTTGTTGGGAGGAGAGGAGAGGAGAGGGGGCTTTGGAGGTTGTTGGGTTAATTTATAGTATGGTAGGATTTCTTAGGGAGATATGATTTGTGTGGCTAATGAATAGTTGTATTGAGTCGTATTTTTTTTTTTTTTTTGTCCAGGCATGGCCGTATTTATACAATTTACGAGGATCAGGATTTGGGGTGAGCGTAGCGAGAGGGCCAATCACAGAGGAGGAGGCCACCGGCACTCTGGTCCTAGCGTTGCTACGTGTGCGTCCGCGCTGTAGAGTAGGTCTACCGGCACCGCTGGACTGTACGCTGATTGGCTGGTAGGCGCGCGGGGGCTCAGTCGTCCTTTGTAGGGGATGGAGTCCACTACAATTTTACCAAAGAAAAATACACTTTAATCATTGTCTGGCAGAACTTGAAAATATTTCCTTGCAAAATTTAAATGTAATAACCCATGGCCGATGTTGACCAAGGTAGGCAAGTCGAGTTTGGTGGTTCATTCCGTTAATATTGGAAGCCAGTTAAAATTATTCAATACGTTTAGTTCACCAATGAAGCTGATTTCCACCTACTGCTGGTACTGGTAAACTTGTGGACAATATGCATCCCAACATGCCACAAGCCCTCTGTTTCCATTGCATCTTCAAAAGCAATATGCCGATTCCATCAATGGTAACTGTTGCTATTGATGGAGGTATTTCTGTTGTTATTGATGGAGGCACTTCTGTTGCTATTGATGGAGGCACTTCTGTTGCTATTGATGGAGTCACTTCTGTTGCTATTGATGGAGGCACTTCTGTTGCTATTGATGGAGGTACTTCTGTTGCTATTGATGAAGGTACTTCTGTTGCTATTGATGGAGGTACTTCTGTTACTATTGATGGAGGCACTTCTGTTACTATTGATGGAGGCACTTCTGATGCTATTGATGGAGGCACTTCTGTTACTATTGATGGAGGCACTTCTGTTATTATTGATGGAGGTACTTCTGTTGCTACTGATGGAGTCACTTCTGATGCTATTGATGGAGGTACTTCTGTTACTATTGATGGAGGCACTTCTGTTACTATTGATGGAGGCACTTGATGCTATTGATGGAGTGTTAATTCTGTTACTATTGATGGAGTGCACTTGTTAGTTATTGATGGATAAGTACTTTGTTGCTACCGATGGAGTCACTTCTGATGTTGGCTGATGGAGGTACTTCTGTTACTATTGATGGAGGCACTTGTTAGCTATTGATGGAGATTATTCAAGGTTATTGATGGAGGCACTTCTGTTGCTATTGATGGAGTCACTTGTTGCTATTGATGGAGTGTTAACTTGTTGCTATTGATGGAGGTACTTCTGTTGCTATTGATGGAGGTACTTCTGTTACTATTGATGGAGGCACTTCTGTTACTATTGATGGAGGCACTTCTGATGCTATTGATGGAGGCACTTCTGTTACTATTGATGGAGTCACTTCTGTTGTTATTGATGGAGGTACTTCTGTTGCTATTGATGGAGGTACTTCTGTTGCTATTGATGGAGGTACTTCTGTTACTATTGATGGAGGCACTTCTGTTACTATTGATGGAGATTATTCTGTTGTTATTGATGGAGGTATTTCTGTTGCTATTGATGGAGGTACTTCTGTTGCTATTGATAGAGGCACTTCTGTTGTTATTGATGGAGGTATTTCTGTTGCTACTGATGGAGGTACTTCTGTTACTATTGATGGAGGTACTTCTGTTGTTATTGATGGAGGTACTTCTGTTGTTATTGATGGAGGCACTTCTGTTGCTATTGATAGAGGCACTTCTGTTGTTATTGATGGAGGTATTTCTGTTGCTACTGATGGAGGTACTTCTGTTACTATTGATGGAGGCACTTCAGTTGCAATTTGATGGAGGCACTTCTGTTGTTATTGATGGAGGTACTTCTGTTGTTATTGATGGAGGTACTTCTGTTGTTATTGATGGAGGTATTTCTGTTACTATTGACTGGCCGTTTCATTTGCTATTCGTGTTGCCGTTTCTGTTGGTTTTAAGTAATGCAAGAGTCGTTCGGTTGTGACTTGTTTGCGTCTGTCTGTTGCTGTGCCCTGCTGCTCTTGATTAATGAAACTGTTCCTGTAACTCTTAAAATTTTCTTACCGTTGTTAGGTTTGCCATTGTTGAGTGTGTTGGTCACTGTTGTTCACATAGGTCATTTCTGTTGCTTCTTTGTGTCCTTTCTGTTGCTTGTGGGTTCTTTCTGTTGCCTTTGTGCCCTTTCTATTGCTTGTGGGTTCTTTCTGTTGCTTGTGGGTCCTTTCT